CTGAAGTGTTACAAACACAGCAGTTCCTGACAACTGATTCATACTTCTCTAAAACAGAGTCAGGAAGCTTCAACATAGAAACACGTCTACGAAACTGAGTAGGACTCATATGGTAGTGCTTCACATGAAGCTTATAAAGCTCTACCTTGTCCTCCAGTCTCTGCAACATCTTCCTATATGCCGGTGTCATTGCAACAACTTCACTACCAGGTAATGGGATTGAAATCCGCCTAGGCTCAAGAGCGCCACCACCTGGTTCAAGTGGTTCATGTTTATCACTTGATGGTCCTTTTGATGCTTTAGGAATTTCTACAAGTTCACCTCCTGGCCTCTCAGGTGGTTCTGAAGGAGTATACTCCTCAAGATCATCACCCTTTAAATCATGTGAGGGCTCAGATGGTTTCAACTTGTGTCCTTTCCAAAATGGATCATAACCCTTTGAAGTATACCGAAACTTTGGCGGCACGGGCTTTTCCGCGGCACTGGATGGTGCACCTTCCTTCTCTGAAGAGAAGCCTGGTTCCCTGTCCTTTGCAATGGGAACCTTCTCTGAGGAGGAGCGCACCACTGCATCGGGATCACCAATGCCACGGTGCTCAATGCCCGCCTTCCTGATCTTTAGACCTGGAATTTTGGCATCTGGCTTGAACTTAAAAATTGTTCTACCACGCCATTCATAGCCAATTTGTAGGTCCTTCCATTTTGCCTTACGCCAATCATCTATCTTCTTGATCTCTTCTCCTCCTTCTTTCTTCTTGATGATTGTCAGTCGCAAGTCCTCCAGCAAGTCAGTGTCTACAGGACAGGACTTAGTTGCTGGGAAAAGAATCTTCCTGTAATCCTTGTGGTGACGTGTCAGTTCTCTCTTGTGAAGATCTACTTCCCAGTAGTCAACCACAGGATATGCATGCTCAGCTTCATCTTCATCACTATTGTGATCAACCGAAATATGGCCATATTCATAGTGAGTGAAGTGAGAGTAAAAGCTCTTCTCGCGCCGAGCCTGCAAACGCACGTCAGACAGATACCATGCAATATCTTGGAAGTCCAAAACAAGATGAGTACTGGCTGCAACCTTCAACTCCAAAAATTTGATACCAAGAGGCACCGATGTCAGGTAAGCATGTTGAGGTGTCAGCCTGAGTTCAAAGCCTAAGTTCCTCATCTGTGGCAAGCTCATAAGCAAAGGGACTTCTCCTTCTTCAACTATGTCGAACTCTGTATTGTGGATCGTCCATGCACGATCATACATGTAAACCACCAGTTTCTGAGAGCAAGAAGCCTTCTGAGAATTGGCAAAGTAAAACTTGCTCTTGGTAGACTCAAAAGAGTACCATAGTCCACAGTTTGGGTGATTGTCGACATAGTTACAAAAATAATCGACTGCACGCCTTGATCCCATAGCTCTAGTGCATCCAATGTCTAGGATTGCAATAGTTGGCGGGAAGCGATTCTCAGTCAAAAATGAAATAGCCTGCATCTCTTTCACTTCTTCCTCAGCGCTCATAAGCGCAAAGCCATCAGGAGCATCTGTGAGCATCTCCTTTGACAAAGAGTACCTCACAGGGGCACTCATGTCATCGAAGATCATCTCACCATTGTTGACCTTACAGTCAGCTTCATCTTGACATGAGGTCATCATGCCTGACAGCAAGTCCACCTCACTGTCATGGACTTCAGCTGCTGTTGTCACACAATGCGCAAAGAAACCTTGGTGACTTCCTGATGCTTGTGAAGATCTTGAAGGTGCAGGCAAAGAACGTGGCTGTTGTTGATTTGCATAGTTTGCATCTTGTTTGCCATCTCCTTTATCTTTCCCTTTTCCTTTCTTGCCTTTTCTCTTGCCTTTTCCTTTTCCTTTGTGGGAAAACCATGCTTCTTCAAGTTGTTGCCAAAAGTCATGGGCATCTTCATGTTCTCCTTGAAGATAGTCATTCATATCTTCGGCAAGAATAGCATCATATGCTACTTGGGTTGACTCCCAAGTGTCCTCATAAGGATTCTCTTCAAAATACTCATCATGATAAGTTGTCGATTGCTCATCAGCATAATGGCCTTTACCTCGTCTCTTTCCTTTTCCTTTTCCACGAGGTCTGAAAAATCTGCGGCCTGATCTTCCTTTTCCTTTTCCTTTTCTTCTACCTTTTCCTTTGCCTTTTCTGGCTCTTCTTCCTTGGAATCTCCTCTGGAACCAAGAGAAATTCTGTTCATCATATACCCAAAAGACATCGTCCAGGGCATCAAGGAATCCTTCTGTTCCATCTTCTTCATCTTCGGCCCAATAGCCATATGTACCATCGAGTTCTCCTTCGTCAAGCACGAGGAATGATCTTCTACCTCCAGCACCTGTTGGCTGCATCAGAGGATTGTCTACTGAAGTCTTTGTTGTGCAGAACATCTCAATGAAAACTGTCCTCAACTCTGTTGTGGTGTATTGCTGCAGGACTCTACCACGATGAGTCATCAAAGAGGTCAATGTGTTCCTCTGGTCCTGAGACAAATCCGCAAGTGACAGCATGAGTAAGGCAATGAGATTCTCTCCTAGAGGAAAATCGTTCTGATGAAGAATTCTCAGATTCTGCATGATTTCCTGAATTCTTTCCGCTGTTGGAGCTACTCCAGTCATCGCTGCATCAGCTTGCATCTGTGCTTGTACCTGAGGGTGTACCTGTGTTACTGGATCCAACATGTCCATCCAACTGCTCATAAGCCTTTGGAGTAAAATCTGAAATCTTGTCATCCACTTCATCATGTCGGCTGATCCGCGATTGAAGCGCACGAATTGCATAAACCTATACAGGAATACATTGGTTGATCCTTTCACAAAATATGGTCGTAGTACTCGTTTGAAGTAATCTACTCCAGCTCCTGGTGGATCATTCGCTTTCAATGCATCTCTGTCTAATACACGTTTGTATACAGCTGCTTCTCCTTCTAATCTGTTTCTCAATGCTGGTCCTCTCTTCTCATCCTCCAGCTCGGTGATATCACACCAATCGTCTATGGCATCCTCATAGGAAAACCATGAAGTCTTTCCATCATAAGATGGGGGCACCTTTGTAGTGACCTGTGTTGTCATTGCTATAGCTGCTGGTTCTCTTCTCACATGCCTATTCACATAGGCTGCTGGCTCATAAGCCACATCCGCATCAGGCTCTTCCCAGTCGTCAATCCAATCCATGGCCGGTTGCCTACAAGCAAGTCTATGCTTAGGAAAGGAGCTCACCTGGGTCTTCCAGGATCACAGCTCCGCTACCACTGAAAGAGTGACTAGGGCGTACACGGTTGAGGTGCAGACCGCTAGTGTCTTTTATACGCAGAGTCTTATCCTCTTGAGCCTTATGGCAGTCAAGCATGGACACACTAGATAGGCCACTGGAGTGGAACCTGTACAAGTAGGCCTCTACATTTCACCCCCTCCCCCCCACGGTTCGACTCCCAGCTGCGCCGTGTAGCGGGGGTTGGTTGAACGTGTGAACGTGGTTGGTTGGTTTTAAACGGTGGCTTGGTGTAAACGGTGCTGCTGCTGCCGCTTTGCTGCTTGCTGCTGCTGTTTGCTGCTGCCGCTGGTTGCCGCTTTTGTAGCTGCTGCTTTGCTACTTGTTGAGGCTTGCTGCTGCTGCTGCTGTTGCTGACGACGCCGCTGCTGCTTGCTGCTGCTGCTGCTGCTGCTACTTGCTGCTTGCTGCTGGTGGTGGTGGTGCTGCTGCTGCTGCTGCGGCTTGGTGCTGCGCTGCTGCTGCGTGGTGCTGCTGGCTGGCTGCTGGTTGGTGGTTGCTGCTGGCTGCTGGCTGCTGGCTGCTTGCTGCTGCTGCTGCTGGTGGTGGCTGCTGCTTGCTGCATAGGACTTGTACTTCACTGTTACAAGTTCTTTACCCGTATTTCTAACCTAATGCATACATAAGCGGGGGGTAAATTTACCCCCCAGATTTGCCATAGCCATAAGCCGGGTATTTCCTCAAGACACTCTACTCCTTATAGCTTGTACCAGTGCTTATCCTACACTACGGACGCCCTAGCGTATGTACAGTCCGTGTGATGTCAGAAATGCTTACCCCTAATTTAACCCCCAGATTTGCCGATCACGCATCTTCGTGCCTGCACCCGTGTTGTTCCAATGTACCCTTCCCAGTCGGCGATGTCACATTTACATTCTTTAGCGCAAAGTATGTGCGTAGCAACCTTTCTCCCAACACATGTAATCACTACATGCTTTGCCGACTATGTAACTAGTAATTACATCCGGCGCGATTCGGCTAGCTTTCGACCTCCTCCCCCTGGCCTCAAGTTTTCTTTTTTGCAGTTTTCCAATTTGTATGTATGCTCCTGTTTTTTGCGGGGCCCTGAAAAGCATGCGCGCCCGCATATATATATATGTACATACATATCCCTACATATATGTATATACGTGTATCTATACACATATGTACATACATACATATATATACATAATACCTTTTTCCTTGGTACCAATGAGAGAGTGCAGGCAACTTGACAACTTACCCAGAGCCTCTCAACCCCCAACCCTCAACCTGTAGCCAAACAAATAAATTGACACCCAGGCACGTATAGGCAGTGCTTGATGATCCGGCACCTTGAGTGGTGCCTATGCAAGTAACTTGCCAGGGGAAAGAATATTATACGCATGTATATATTTATATAGATGAGCCGGCCCTTCCTAACAAAGCCACTTGTTGAGGTTCTCACACTTTGCACTGCGGTCTCAAAAATCAAGGGTTTCTTGACTTTGCATACTGGCTGCCCTGAGTCACTCTATTCTCTTTGTTTTTCATCTCAGGGCTTTGTCTTGCGACAGCAGGAGCACAGTTGTTGCCTTCCTTGCCCTTTGTAATTTTTGGTTGTTGGGGGGTGCCTGGCTTCTAGACTTGTACTGATTAATGTCCTATCAAGGTCAGCATGCTAAACATTGTTAACAAACTAGTGGTAGGTTATAGCTTCTACTATAGCTGATGCTATACTCAGATTGATTTGCCCTTGAGGATGGCGCGAAAGCTTCCTTTCTCTTCTCCCGTGAAAGCCGTCAAGGGACTCGTTGCACTCGCTATGACCTTCCAGCTGTCCCATGCGCCTCGGCGGAATTTGGAAGATCCTCCACAGTTTACTATTCTGCCAATTGCTTGGCCAGGCATTGGTGTGCTTACATAGTTGTTTTTTCTAGTTTCGCAGGGTCGGTAGGTCGCGAAGGCCTGGTGCTTGCAATTTTGGAGATTGAGGCTGCTCCTCATCCTGTTGTTGCTGCTGCTCCTGTTGTTGCTACGCTTCTTCCTTCACATTACACTCTTCAGATGTGTTACAGTAAAGGTATTTCAAGGTTGCAAGTATAAGCTCTGAGGGAGATGTGCCCGCACCGGAGACTTCAATTTGCATTCTTCTTGCACCCAAAGCTGGGCACGAAAGAGGATCCTGTCAGGTGTTTGTGGCAGCTCGCCGGTACTGTACAATGTCTTTTTGGTTGACAACAGTTGCAGCTACCGCTGACCAAAAATGAGCTTACCAAGATTGAATTTGAGCAGACCTTGTGTTGTGAGCCTTGCATTTTTGCATGGCTTTTCTCATGAGGTGTAAATCCAATCGGAGCAGGTGACACTGTGGCTGGTGTCCTCATGGCTTCCTTGTGCTTTGGCGTTGCCAATGATGTCGAGGATTGCTGCGTGGGTGAGCGAATGGAAGACGGGGAGGCGAAGGAGTGCCATAGTCAGGGTCGGGTAGGGCTTGAGTCTTCTTTAGAGCTTGGAAGTGGCAAATCAGCTCATCGAGGAGCTTTTTTTTTGCCAACTGCTCCCTCCGGCGGCGAGAGGCTGTCGTTCCCAGCCATAGCTAGCTCGAGCACAGTAGAGTTACACTTTTGGGATCTTTCGGGTAGGCAGCGGATCCAAGCTTTCTGAGATACTTCGACACCTTTTACCCCGACAGACGTCATTTTGTTGTTCCATGATCCCCAATGATTCCATATTGTTCAAGTTCATTAGGAGGCGATGCTCTTTGGCCTGGCTGCGGGCAGTGCCAAGGCCCGTTGTGCGCGTATGTTTCACCCTTAGCAGCTGTAGCCCCAGTGGTCAGAAGACAAGCTCCAACGAAGTCCGACTGATCCCCACAGAATTGATTCGCGTATCGATTCTCCAGCCTGACCTTGTGGCTTCTCTCAACATGGCCCACCCCTTCACCCCTTCACTCAAGGTGAAGAGTGAAGGAGAAGGAGGAAAGCTTGATTTTGCCGCTTGGCATTGCCTTTCGCAGATTTGCAGACAAAAGTGCCTAGAGTAAGTTTAAGAATGTACCAAGGAGACCATGATGGGCCTGAAGGCGGCAATAACAGCCACAAGAGCCACAAGCCAGTAGGTTCCGTCGCAAAAAGAGGGGGTGTGCCTGTGCCTTCCGCCACTTGTGCTCACGTCTCAAAAGCGGCCGGGAAGATTTCATTGAATTTGAGGCAAGAATGAGCACAACATATAGACTTGCTCATCCAATAATTCGGATCATATCAGCAGAACAACCTTTCCGAACGACCTTCCACTGTATGAGCATCAGTTTTGCAGGGCTTGGGGTTAGTTGACAATTGGCAAGGAGTTAGTGAGATTTGATGAGACCTGGCAAGGAGTTAGTGACCTACTTTCCTCCTGGTGGTCCAAGCCTGATTCTTCAAACAGCCTAGAGGAGCCTGACGCTTTTCAGAAGTCAAGGCGGACCTTGAGCCATTGAGGAGTCCAAGGATCACGCTTGTGGTCCGCTTGAAACGCTGAGAGGGTCTTGCCTCAACATGTCCACGAGGCCCAACTACTATTGTGAATTACGAGTGGCTCTTGACCTTAGAAGACACCGAATCACCTGTTTTTACAGTGGAAGAAGCTGTACATTGTGAGGCTTCTCTTGGATGATCTCTATGCCAGGGGCTTGCATGATAGCTGACTAGACTGCGTGCGCAACAAGAGAGACAGTCTACCAACAGTCTCATGCTTCACTTGCTAATTACCTGCAGGTTCTGTCTCCAATGGTTTATGCGCTACGGCTTCAACACTTGGAGGACCTAGCTACCAAAATATTTGCAAGCAGCACTTTTGGGCCAAAGGGAAAGCAGGGGATAAAAATCCAGGAAGCACTAAGCTTGAGCGAACGCATGGAGAAGGTGCAAGAGCCTGAGAGCGAGGGCCATCCTTGAGACAGACCTGGCTCTTTGCGTTTTCATGCAAGCACACACTGGCCGTTCTGTATTCTTGTTCTCGCTAAGTTTGGCCCTAAGGGTGAGAAGTTGTGTTAAAGATGGTCTGGCAGGGCTCCCAGACACTGACATGGCTGCACAATAATTACGGTCAGCAGCGGGTACAGTAACAGTTGGAGCCAAGTGTATTCTAAGTACGTTGTGTGATGTAGTTGATAGGTGCACCAACATGGAAAGCTTTAATTGCCAACATGTTTAATGCTCAAGCGGCGCCAAAGAAGGCAACTAGTTGCTACCGAAGCATTTCTTGGATGGTGTACGATGCAAGGAATGGGACATCTCACATGGAGGGACCTGAAGCATTTTCCAGTTGCAAACTTCTACTCTCACTGAGGTCAAGCTTGAACAGGTCGAGGTGCTCTACGATGGGTTGACATAAGTAGACCAGGGGTGCCTGACATGTCTTGGACAAGGCCAACACGCAGAGCTCGAGGGTTTTCAAACTTGGGTGGCCTGTGTTATCCGTGCTGTAGGATCGAAATTGTAGAAGTGTTCAAGAATGCTGAAGAGACAGGCAAACCGAAGACTCGGTGGAAAAGGCAATGAACTCTAACACAGCTCTAGGCTGCCTGCAAAGATGACTCCGTGTTGGCTGTCCTGCAGCCAGAGGCGATTGACTCACAAGAGTGCAACAAGTAAAGATATCTTTGGATTCTGATGATGGACATACTTTTTTCCTCTGAGAATATGAGAGGATGTCATGTTTAGCCATTTTCTCGAGCTGGGAAGCCTTCCGCCTGACACAGGTTGTTCCAGGCTTGGGGGCGGTGAAGTACCATGTGGAGTAGAGCGGTTCTCAACTGAACACCTCATGGCCCAACCAACCCGCGCGCTTCGCGCTTGCGAGAAGATCGAGAATGGACAAAATGCATTTTGTTGGTCTAATGCTTTAGCAGTCTTGGAGATTTCGAGGAACGTCGCTGATCAACGCGCTGCGCTGAGCACCTCGGTCATCAATGCCTGCAGCAAGGCTGCAGAATGGTGCAGAGGAGTTCAACTGCTACACCAGGCAGATGGCAGCAGAGTGGAGCTGAACTTGGTGAAGTTCAATGCACTTTTGAATGTGAAGGGGAGAGAGTGGCAACAGGTTGTCAGCTGGTTGAGATTAGCCGAATCTTTCTCAGTTGAGGGAGATCGTATTACATTTGGGTCCGAGATCAGTGCAGTGGGTTCCAACTCGCAGTGGCTGCATGCAATATTTTTCGTCCATGAATCACAGAGCAGGAGCATTTCTGTTGATATAATTTCTTTGAATTCGGCCATGTCTGCTTGCAATTCTGCCTTTCAGTGGGCCGCATCTCTTGCAGTTTTGGCAGACTTGACACTCAACAGAGTGTGCAGCGTACAAGGGATCAACACATTTGTAATGAACAGCGCTCTCAGTGCATTTGGACAGGTCGATATGTGGCAAGAGACCATGCTCATGCTCCAAGAGATGGAAAGAGGAATGGGCTTGCGGCCGAGCTTGGTCACCCGGAGTGTTGCGATGTCTGCCTGCACCTTCGTCGGGCCGTGGGATATTTCCCTCTACCAGATGTCGCTTGTTGTTGGTGGCAACGAAGTCACTTGCAGCACAGCAATTAGCGCATGTGCATTGGGTAGTCTTTGGGCCAATGCGCTGTCATTGCTGGGAGTCGCCATCACCAATTCTTGGCCGATTCGTTTGCGCAGTGTCAATGATGCCATTGCTTACTGTGGAAGGCAGAAACAGTGGCAGTGGGTCTTATATGTTCTAGGTCAACTGGAGCGCCTCCGGGTGCAGGGCGATGTGATCACTTACACATCTGCCATCAGCGCTTGTGAAAGGAGTCAGCTGTGGAAGGAAGCTTTCCTTCTCTTCAGCTTGACATCTCGAACTGTTCAGGTCCCTTTGGCTAGCACACTGCTCACCTCGAGGGTCATGTCAACTGGGTTATATACTGCCCAGTGACTGCAAGCTTGACATTTCCAATAATTGTCTGAGGCCAACATTGTGACCTACAATGCTGGCATCACCGCCTTAAGTGCGAAAGGGAAGTGGCAGAAGACTTGCCTCCTTCTCCGAGAGCTCCACGTGCCACGTTTGCAAATAAGGTTGATGCTTCATTTGTATTCATTATGTATTCATTTGTTTGTATTTTCACTAGCTGGTCCGCCCCACTTTCACACAAGATGGAGTGCTGTCTTTTTCTGACTAATTCAGTACTGTACTCGGCCAGGGTTTGTATTGTGTACATTGCATGCCCAGATGCAGCGGCTGGCTTTTGACGCAGTCACCTGTGGAGCCAGCGCTGCTCAGAAGCAATGTTCTGAAGATCACTCAAACCTCGCCAAATATTGAAAAATGTGCCCTGGACTTGCCCCAACGTTTTGTGCTTTCGCTGTTTTGAGGTCGGTGTATGCAGAGAAGGCGGGAACTGGGAAGCAGCTTTCAGCCTCCTCGCATGCCTCGACGAGGTGCACCTTCAGTCAGAGGCAGGGGGTTGCACCCAAACTGCTTGGGGACTGATGATGAGCACAAGGCACATGTCGATGACTCTTATAACGGGTCGCCTGTTGCAGCCCGAATTTGGCAGATGTTTGCCAGCATGCATGCAGCTGAAGGCCCTGAAGGCATTATATATATATATAATGTTCTTACTTACGACTTGTGACTATCAACTACCCTTTGCAAACCAACACCTTTCAGCAGCACGTCGCTTTGGTGCTCCTCACAACTTATTCAACCTTGAAAGATCACAGATGGACGAGATGACATTGAAGCATGTCCGTTCTCACCAACTAGACTCAACCAGTGATGTTTGTATGGCCATCAGGGGAGGAAGGATGGCAAAGGGATCACTTAGCCATAGGGCAGGATTGCTTAGCCATCGGGGATCACTTAGCCATCGAGGTATCATTTAGCCATCGGACTTGGGATCACCTTGTCATGCGGGATTGTCACATGCACTTCAAGTTGCCAATGATGAAGTGCATTGGGTCGGGTGGTAATGACATTCACTTCGACTAGCGCTCACATCTAGGGCTAATGACGTTCACTTCAACTAACACTCACGCTAAGATTTCCTTTTTGAAGGAGTGGGGTGGGGTGGGGCGGTGTTCCATACCGTCATTGAATGCGCAACTACGCACCGAAAAACACATTGCGCCGTGTGAAACTGCATCATGAAAGCATCAACGTTTACCCGAGAATGCAAAATTACTCTACTTCGAGCGATCCCCGCCATGACATTCCATCATTTGTCTTCATGCCATGGTGAGGAGCATATTGCCATGGTCGTAGTTTTGTTGTTCTCGACTTTGTTTGTGGGTCCTCGGGTTGTGTGCTGCGATTGTGGTTGTGTGCTGTGGTTGTGTGTTGTGGATGTGTGCTGTGGTTGTGTGCTGTAGTTTGTCTTTGTGGCTGTGTCGTGTTTTGCGGTTGTGTTTGTGGTTGTGTGTTGTGTGGTTGTGTTTGTGTTTGCATGTTTGTGGATGTGTTTGTGTTTGTGGTTGTGAGGTTGTGATGGTGCTTGTGTGTTTGTTATTGTACTTTTGTGTTTGTGGTTGTGTTTTGTGACTGCGTGTTTGTGTTTGTGCTTGTGTGTTTTTGTGGTTGTGCGTCCGTGATTGTGTTTGTGGCTGTGTGTGTTGTGAATGTGTGTTTGTGGCTGTGTGCTGGTTGATGTCCGGCGGGGAACACTGCCAAGCGGACCTCGCGGTTGAGGTCCGGCTGAGGAGGAGGACGCGGAGAAGGAGGCCGAGGTGGAGGAAGGCTAACAACCCTCACCTGACAGGTGAGGAAAAGCGCGCACGAGGGCGATGACTCAGCGATCCAAAGCCCGACTAAGCGATCCAAAAGCCGATGGCCAAGATGCGAACCCTCACCCCAGGCATGCATTGCTCCTGCTTTCTCACATTGAAGATTGATCGGAGGCCATTGGTTTCAGCACGGGAATTGATGCTTGTGGGGCAGCATCAGAGTGGCGAAAAAGCCTGGTTCTCTTACAGGAACTACCTTGGAAGGACCTGTAGCCGCAGCCTGTACTAACTTTCTGGAGAGAGAGAAAGAGAGAGAAAGAGAGAGAGAGAGAGACACAGAGAGAGAGAGAGGGCTTGAGCAACCATGTGCTGTGTATATAATATTTTTTGTTCTTGCCTTTTGGGGTTGCGAGTGTCCTTTGTTCCCTTTCCTCAACTTTTTAACTCGTTCGCTTGTAGCGTATTGATGTCTATAGTTTGCCGTTTGATTAGAAAACGTGCCTTTTATGATCTATCATATTGTTCTTCGGGGTAACGCACACACCTGACACACTTAGGAAAATATCCAGAAGGAGCTCGATTCAGTAACAGTAAGATTCAGTGTATACATTAACCCTTAGTTTTTTATGCTTACTACATTGTGCGCACGACCTGGTGCCTCAAACATGGTCCTCTAAAATAGCATTCGCGTCAACTTTTCACAGTATTAAAAGGGCAGATCACTAGCTTCGTTGGCCAACGTCGTGATGTCATGCGCTGTTTCCCTGCAGGTATTCTGAATTAGGCTGTGGCCTGTGGTGCGGTTCGGTTCGGTGCAAAAGGAACCCTTGGAACCGGGTGGGGTGCACAAATAGCTAGACTCTTAGTAAGAAAACGTCAAGAATGCCACGAGTATTTGCAATGAACACTGAAAAACTTGCATGACATGTGTCAATGTAACTGCAGTAGGAGCACACTCGTGCAGTAGTGTACAGACGGAACAACGCCCGAGGAACTCAAAACTTATATAATTGGTAACTGTTCAACTGGTAACTACCCCGGTAACTACCCCGGCACTGGATTGACCGTTTTTGTTTGGCAATGTTGGTCACGGTTGCTGGGTTCAGCAGTTTGCTCTTCAGGACGCGATTGCCCACAACTCTGCAATCACTGCATGTGGGGATGTTGCACAATGGCAACTGGCGCTTCAACTGCTGAAGGAGGTGGACAGCATAGGCATTTCAGGTTCCTTGGCAAAGTTATGCTTGGAATTTCTCACCAAAGCTGTCGTGAGCTACGCGTTGTCTCAGGTGCGTATGGTGCTTCTCTTCTTTTCACATCTGCAATCGCAGCTTGCAAAACTTGTTGGCAACATGCTTGTTATTTGCTTGCAAGAATGCAGGACTGCCAGCATGGGGTTGCGGAAACGGAGCAATCTTGCGGGCAGATCGCTCCAGCTAGATAAACCGGCTGAGCGTTTCGGTTGGGGTGCGGAGACATGGCCCAAGAATTGCTTCACGGATGGACTCCCACAAACAAAAAAACATGTCCCGCATCCTTCGAGAGAGAGAGAGAGATGGTTGGCTGAGTGACATGAGTTGGCCGCTTCTTTAGCATGCTGCTGGCTTTGCGGAGGATATTCAATTGCAAGCAAACTTGTTTGCTTACAATGCTGCTTTGGGTGCCTGCGAGCAATCTGGTCGGTGGCAGGAGGCAGTTTTATTGCTCAAGGCTGTGCGGGGTGTGCGTATTTGTTGCCCTTTTCAAGGTCCAGAGTCCAGACAGTGTCATGGATTGACCTGTGCTCAGAGAGTTCCTTCGTGCCAGGAACTGAGTGAAGAACACCTTCAGGGTGACATGATCAGCTTTTGTGCTGGTTTTGGTGCATGTCGCAAGACGGAGCGGTGGGAGTTTGCCTTGCCTCTCAGCAAAGGTCTGAGAGGTCAGCTCAAATTTTTGATGGCAAGAGCTGCAGGTGCTGCAGGTGCCGCGAGCATTCGGTGAGGTAGAACTTTACTGTAGAAGTATGTATATATGTATATAGACTCTTTTTGAAGCTGTCGACAGCAATGTTGCAGTCGAAGTCCATTGCCTATTTTGTTCGACCAAAGCGCGCAATTTGAACGGCAATACACCGGCCGCAACTTATGCTCCCTTCTCCATCACTAGACCTATGCTTTGGGGCTTTCTGAGGACTTTGCTCGCGCTTTCCAGATACAGCTTGAAGAGCTTGGTCCAGGTGTGGCTGAGCAATTTGCCTTGAGTCAGGGGCTGTGGCATTGTTGCTTTGTTTCCTTGGTGGCAACCGATGGAGTGCAGAGAGCAAGCCATAGCTGGCTGCTTGTTTTTTTACACTAGCATGAGTTTGCAAGGTATAGTAGGGCAAAGTAGGGTGCTGCATGGCCCTGCTAGTATTGCATCACCTTTTGTACAATCCACCTCCCTCGCGACATCCTACAGGCAGCCTGCCTGAAGCTTGTCCTCGGCTTCTTAACCGTTTGTGTTTGTAACTTTAGCGAGCCCTGTCCCTGATGTTTATGGTCAGCGTCCTGGGACACATGGCTTGCTTGCGAGCGCTTTTGGCGGATTGTGTTCCCATTGTTTTTCAATTTCCTACTGCATTGGTGGTTTCACGCACCTTTGTCAGTTTTCGCCAGGTTCTGAGCAAAAGAGCTCTGAGCTTGCAGAGCTTCTGAAGTGCGCTAGGGAGTTCTGCAAATTTTCACTATATTGTTTTGCGATGTGCGGGTTTTGATCGCATATTTGGTACAATTTGGGCAGAAGCGTCACCTATGGGGCTATGGGTAGGAATTGCGGCATCTTCCACGAGTTCTTCTATCCGGTGTGGGCACCAATTTTGTTTTGATGGCTTTGAACAAGAAGCACCACGAAAACATTTGCCTTTCACAACCACTCAGGCTTTGCCCGAAGAGGAGACGGGAGACTATCAAGATTCAGTCACAGGCGCTCAGTTGCAGAATGGTTTGATTTTGGCAATCACGCCACCAAGCGTTGCTTATAGTTGTCGTGCTCAGGTGACGATGTGGGAATGTGAAGCAGTCGTGGACCGGGTCAAGCATTCTGAGCCTGCACCACAGGATTGAAACTTCACACATCAAAGTTTCAAAACAAGTACTGGAGAGAGGTTGTGTATATGGTTGTGGCATGATGTGGCATGCATTTAGCATTGTTTTTTCAGTCTGCATTATCTTCAATTCATGACTCGCTCCCGGCTCACCATGCTGTCAAAACATACAGCACTAAGAGCATCGAGTTTCACTATGTCGTAGCACTTGCGAAAGACTCGCAAACACAAGTGATGCTTGCGAGAGAGAGCGAGAGTGGGGGATAGTTTTAGGTGGTGCAACTCGTCTCTTGGAAGGCTCCGGTGTGGCATGCAGCTGCAGAACAAGCCTCAACATGTCGCAACGATGTGCAAGGCAGAACTAGGTAGGATTCTCATACACTGACAGCTGACCAGAGGCAGACGTTTGTTGCTATACATTGAAGCTCAGAGGCATGTTTGCCTATGATTTGCCTACTGTAGACATTTTTAGAAAGAGAGCCTTTCTCCTGACACTGAAAGAAGGCCGACATGCACGCATTCCTGGCACCCCGCTGGTTGAAAGAGACCACAGCAACATGACAAGACCCGGGGCATTCAATTTTCACCCTGCCGGTGTCAAGTCGCCTATGTCCATGCTTCATGCCCTGTGCTCAGCTATCGCAGTTCCGGACTGCAAAGACTGTTGGGCATTTTTATGCTTTGATTTTTGGCCGGAGCCTGTATCGGCACCCATTGAATGGCCAGAGACTTCCTCAGAAAAGGGGGTCGTAACTCCAAACTGCTTTTAGTGGAGGATTGGACGCATGGCTGCGGTGGCTGTCCCCCTTTGTGTTGCCTGGCAGCCGTAATTTCGCATTTCTGCGCACCAAACCATGTGTGTTTGAAATTATGCATCCTTTTGTGCTCAGCATATGCTCTTGCTAGTGACAAGAAGCTACTACGGGCTCCTGGCATCGCTACTAGGAGCAAGGACGCTACTAGGGGCTCCTGGCCTTACTCGCTACTAGGAGCACCTATGCTTTGCTTACTCTTGTGCTCATGTCGCTGCAGGATCGGGAGGAGCGAGGCCAGCAAGGCTCAGCACCGGAACTGTTGTTTCTTTGCAGAGCTGAGCGTTATTGTTTCAATTAGGTTTCACACATGTTGAACGAGTCTCGTTAGTAACGTTACTAAGTCAAGGTGAAGCTTATGATTATGAAGTTGTTGCATTTTTTCCAAGCTTATGGCTTATGAAGCCATGAGTCATTGAGTCTTCCGAAGCTTATGAGTGCCACATTGACGCTCCAGACGACAGTGACGGATTAGAATGCATGTTTGTGCCAACTTGGATGGGAAGCCATGGAGCTCACCGCAAGTGGCTGTAAAGGCCCTTTGCAAAAAGCGGCTTTGGCAAGAAGCGCTGAATAGAGAGGGGGCCTTTACAGCCATATTTCCAAGAGGGGTCAGGGCAGCCCCACTGCCGGCGTTGGTGCCGGCATTTGCCACGTTTGCCCAAGGCCTGGCATGGCAGCACGCACTTCTTTTGCTGCAAGAACTTCGAACGGTCCAAATAAGCCGTACTGGAAGAAGTTCAAGAAACCCTATGAGGCGTCATATGAAGTCATTGACTGCAGCTATTAGTGCGTGCACGAAGTCTGACCAGTGGGATCAAGCTTTGCTGCTGCTTTCTGTGTTTAGAGCTGATGCAGTGCAACCAAATGCAACGCGTTCAGAAAAAGAAAGCCATTGCATGTTTTACCAAAAAATAGTTCTTGCACTTGTTCAGAAACTGTTTTGTACACGTTTCATGGTTGTGAAGTCCGATGGGTTGCCAAAGAGCTTTGGACCGATCCAAGGTTATTACCTACAGTGCTGTTGCGAGCAAGTGCTCCACAAATCGCTGGCTCGCATGCTTTGCTTTAACCCAAAAATTCTCAGATCTAGTGGCGTGTAACTCAGCCATTACTATTGGTGGCTTGGAATCCTGGCTGCGTGCACTGGACAGGTTTGACGCAGTAAGCTGCATGTCACTGCGTCCAGATGTGGTGACCTACGGCGCGGCAGTTGCATGCGGGTCGTGGCAGGTGGCCTCATTGTTGCTGGAGAAGAGTTGCAAATGCCACTTGGGAAGCAGTATCGGATGCGGTGCCGCGATTAGTGCTTGTGAGGAGAACGCCGCCTGCTGGCGCACAGCTCTTGGACTGTTGGAGTTTGGAAATGTCAGACGTCTCCAGTCCAGCATTGTTTTGTGCAATGCTGCTTCCAGTGCCTGCGAGAAGGGGATGAGGTGGCAAGCAGCCATAGATTTTCTCAATGCCTGTCAGAGGTTTGTGAAACCAAATATCATCAGCTACAATGCGGCAATCTCTGGATGCAAGCAAGCAGCTCAGTGGCTCTCGGCGCTGGACTTGTTTTCGGAGCTTCGGCATGAGACATATCTGGATGTGATCACTTGCAATGCACTCATTGCTTCATTTGATCAAATGGCCGGGTGGAAGCAGTCATTGCAAATGGTGCAGTTTCTTTCACAGCAGAGGCTCGAAGCAAATGCTGTGACCTATGGTTCTTTGATTTCAGCATGCTCCAAGGCCAAAGAATGGCAGCGCGCTGTTTGTTTGTTGGCGAAAGCTCAACAGCTAACAGTTGGCGAGGCTGCTGTCTATAATGTGGTGCTCCGAGGATGTCCATGGCGAGCAGCTGCCACACTCCTAACATCCATGAGAGAAGCAGCTTTGCTGCCCAGTATTCTAGCGAATGATGTAGTTATGCAGGCCTACAGTGATCAGGGGCAACAAGAGCATGTTTGGGAATTGTTGGTGAACACTGCGGAGAAACGGTCAGCACTAGAATATTTGTGGGGATTAGCATTGCTAAGCTGCAAAGAGCCTGACGTGATCCACTCTGCTTGCGTCGAAGCATTTCAGGATTTCAGGGAATCTATTGGCAACCAGTCTCCAAATGAGCATGCTTGCCTGTGGTGGTCTACTGCCATGCTGGGTGCAAGGAACAAGCGGTTGGACATGCTGAGGGCGAATCAGACCATGTTTCAGATTGCAGAGTTTCAACTTGACGAGCTTGTTACTGTTGCATCAGGCTCCGTCGATTGTGAATCAAGCCTCTTTGCCCAAAGTCTATTGTTGGCAGCGCAGCGGCGTACAGAAGCAGTTTTCGCTCAACTTCCCACTGAGAGCTTTTCGCTGGTCAATTCGGGAATGCATGTGCTCGGTGACTTGGCGCTTCATGAGACTTTCGGCATTGAAACCACAAAAGCTAGCGAAGCCTGCGAAGCTAGCTGGCATAACTCTTCCTTTGGCGAGGTTTGGGATTGGGTTCATTTGAGATGATGCATGATATTTTAGGCTTCGGGGCCTCCCATGGGGTTGCCATGTATACTGCTTTGAGGTGTTTGCAGTATAAATATGTTTCCTTCGATTGGCTGCCACATCCGTTCAATTTCTGCTAGCAAAGCCTGTGTCCACACCCTGAAGTCTGCCTCCACACACCAGCTCTTGGGGCTTTTCTCCGAACTTCTCGGATCCCTCTGCTTTGTGGCACATCTGGGTACAACTTCCCATACGGCCTTTTGAATTCGTTGTTGTCGTCCTTAGTTCTGGTCTTTCTTTTCTGTATAGATATGATTCTGGTTGTGCGGCGAAACTCGGTGCAACAGGTGATTCATTTGCGCCTTCATTTTGTCTCGTTTTGCGTGTACATACTTTGCATGTTTTGCATAGTTATATAATTCTTCTCACTTTGTCGTTAATGTTTCTTTTAGTGGATATGTGCCTGCTCACCCCGATACCCAGTCAAACTGAAGGGTCGCTGGTAGTGCTTGAACAGAAACTGCAAGAACCGTTGGGACCACCGCCAAGCATGTTCACTTGGCCACCTCTAGCTTCAAGCAAGACTGCTGAAGTCTGCTTACTGCCTACTGGATGGTAAAATGTCTTGTGGCAGAAGCACTGGGCGTGACAGGTGTACCTCGTATGGAAGGGCTCCGTAAGATGCAAGACTCGTTTAAAGTTACGAAAGCTAGCCGATAGGCGACTGCTGAGTTCTCATTTGCGAACGTAGTGAGATTAAGGGGGTGTGGGGGGTGAGATGCTGCCCAGCGGGGCAGAAAAAGTCGCTGTCAGCTGGTGTTTTGGGTGAGTTACAGGGTCCGTGTGGACGGGTTATGTACCATGCGGCAATTTGGTGACGGTGGGGCTTCGATTCCTCCCTGCTCCGCCCCTGCGGAGGCTGATTTCGATTCTGATTGAGTCAAAAGTTGAAAAAAACATCGCAAATACCATCAAATACCGATGTTTTTTGACGATGAAAGCGTGAAACAAGGTCAGAAATCTAGTGTTTTTTCCTGTGTTTTTAGCCTGCAGGTCGGAAGAACATCGTAGATACCGTGTTTTTGACTGTGAAAACAGGAAAAACAGGTGGATTTTGATGTTTTTTCTGTGTTAGTGTGCCGGAAAGTAGCAAACACGCCGTAAATACCGTGTTTTTGCATGTGAAGACGTGAAACATGTTGGATTGTTATGCTGGTTCGGGAGTGAAAACATCGTAAGTATCATGCTTTTTGGCCTGCAGGGTGGAAAAACCATTGTAAATACTGTGTTTTTAGGTGTGAAAACGTGAAAAACAGGGGGATTTTTCTGCGTTTGTTTGCCCGCAAGTTGGAACACATATCGTAAATACAGGTTGTGGAATTTGAGCACGTGAAACAATCGAAAGACCCCCTGTACTTTACTCTATTCTACCCTACTCCAACTTTCTGACGCAGAGAGAGAGAGAGAGAGGATGCAGCATACAGGGATTTCGTATTGGATTGTTTATAGGTTTGAAAACGTGAAAAGCAGGGGTGTGCCCGCAAGTTGGAAAACATATCGTAAATACAGGTTTTGGAATGTGAGCACGTGAAACAATCGGAAGGCCCACTGTACTCTACTCTATTCTACTCTACTCCAACTTTCTGACACAGAGAGAGGAAGAGAGAGAGAGAGAGGATGCAGCATGCAGGGATTTCGTATTGTTTTTTTTTGCGATTGGCGTTCCCACCTTGTCTTGTCATGAGTACTTGCTGAAAGCACGACAGAACATCGTTCCTTTCTCGTTCTATCCTAGCTTGTCTTGTCACGAGCGCGAAAGTGAAAAAACCTCGCCGCCCACTTGACTCTACTCTACTCTACTCTACTCTACTCTACCCTACTCTGAGAGAGGGACAGGGTGCAGCATACAGGGATTTCGTTGTTTTTTTTGGCAGAACTACGGTTATGTCTGATGCTTTGGTGTAGTGCAGTTCTACTGATTTGCCGCCGTCGCCTCACTACGTTCGCAGAAAGAACTACGGTTACGTCTGATGCTTTGGTGTTTTGCAGTTCTACTGATTTGCCGCCGTCGTCTCACTACGTTCGCAGAAAGAACTACGGTTACGTCTGATGCTTTGGTGTTTTGCAGTTCTACTGATTTGCCGCTCCGTGGGCTCATTTGCATGCAGGTGGACATTTACTACAATTACAAAAAGGGATAGGTTTAGTAGGCTCTAGACCAGTGTGGTTTAGACCCTCTTGCACGTTATTCTGACAGTTGGCCATTCGCAAACATTTTCAAACAACTTGGCTGGGCCCCCGCTCTGCCGCAGCTCGCGCGGGCGGAACAAAAAGAGAGACCCTAGCTTTCGTTTGCTACCTCTCAGGTTTTGTTTGTTTCCATCCGTACGGCTATACATTCAACTTGCACAACAGCCCTTCATGCGTGAGTGATGTGTGGTAAAATACGTCCGCCGGCCTCCCCGGAAGCGTGCTTTCAGTCCCTTAGCCTCAATGGCTACACTACTTGGTCCCCATGCTGTCTCAATTGAGGAGTGCTATTCTCGTGCCAGCTGGCAAACTCGTTGAGCACACAGTTCCTTGGATCTGTGCAGCAGCTACTGCCCAAGGTTGGGCAGCTGCTGGATAAACAGCACGACTGGCACTCCGAGCCCATTCGTTCAAGGAACACCGAAGCTTCAAGCACCTCTGCGACAAAGGACTGGGAAGCTGTTCCAAAGGTTGTGATGGGCCTTGCGGACTGTGCTGTGCTTCTGAAACCAGCTGACTGGGAAGTCTACGGAGGACATACCAAGCGCCAACTCTCAAGCTTTGTGAAGGAGCAGTTTGGGAGAGCCCCCATTTTCGATGACTCAAATCACTTCCGTGGTTTCTTGCACCGGCTGGATGTACCAAGTTCTGGCTTAATCCTAGTGACAAAGACGTACGAAGCTCACTATAATCTTCAAGTACAGCTTCATTCTGGACAACTTAAAAGACACTACCTGGTCTTGAGCCATGGCCGTTTTCCCCATGCACAAGCATCACTAAATGCCAACCTCATTTGGCATGGGGATAGCCCAACATTTGCTGGAGGCCGTGGCAGAACTGCCCGGACAACAGTTGATTTGCAGAGCCATGCATGGTCCGACCGCATGCTGGGCCATGCTTTCAGCCTGCTTCATGTTCGCATAGAGACGGGTCGGAAGCATCAAATCAGAAGCCATTTGGCGCATGTTGGCCACCCTGTGGTTGGGGATGGAGCGTATGCGAGTTGTGAGACCTTTTCGGCGGACCGAGCGTTGACCCTGCGGCACTGGCTGCATCGGCACTGCATGATTTTCAATATTGCTGGGAAGCAATGTAAAGTTCAGACTGACCTCCCTGAAGACTTGAGCTCCTCATTGAGTGGCTTGAAAACTGTCCCACCAAAAAGCCGAGACATGACAGGTGCGATCATGTTGCCTCACTTTTCAATGACTGACAGGCTGACTGTCTTGCCCCCTTGGTCTCCGGCCTTTAGGGGAAGTTGCAGTTGGGCGTCTCTGTGAGACGATTTCGGGACGAGTGCCCGCCAGAGAGAGAGAGAGAGAGGGGCTGACATAAGCTGACCTCAGGTGCACCCGTATGCAGCAGGCAGCGCTCTGTCGGTGCCTCCCTTTGACGTACATGTTACATGCATCGCATGCATTTATGTAGCATGAATCTAAGACCGGAAAGGTGCTGCCAATTTGGCTGCCAATTCTTGTGGCTTGACGCTCACTGAAGTTTCTATCGGCTATCGGTGTTGGGATTGGGACAGTTTTGAAGTTTTGCAGCTGTGTTTCGGGACCGTGTATCTACTCAAGAGAATCAGCTGCCGTTTTGGATCCCAAGTTGTCCTTCACTAGACTCAGCAGTTTCGCTGATTCCGTGCAACCTGGCAGCGGCCCCAAGCGCTAGCTGAGCATGTGGAACATGAGATTGTGGAATCGGATCAGGACTAAGAGACACGGAGGGACTACTAGTGACTAGAGTCTCTGGAGCCAGATCTTTCTTCGACGAGTTGGAGATAGTTTTTGTATGTTTTTGTGCTGTCAAATTCGGAATCGTTTCACCTGTAAGAAGCTCTTTAGTATGTTGTGATCGCCAAACAAGAAGCTACTAGGTTGGAGGAATTCACTGCCAACTCGCAGCCTCGCGGCCCAAACATCGCATCAAGTTTTCCTCCCAGCCATGGCGGAACCAGAGGCATTGGCAATTTGGTTTGAGATGCCTTGTGTTTTTGCAGATGTGAGGCGAAACGACAGAAGACAGAGGAAACCAAAGAAGAAGCTCCGAAACTTGGCCAATGGAAGAAAAAAAATCAGTTAAACTTAATTCGTTTTCAGTGACTGTACTTTCCAGCTGAAGGGAGGCTTGTGGAACCTCCGTGGAAGCGACTTCCTAGAAGAACCTGAGCCATCCCGAGCCTGGTAGCATTGCATTCATACACTTGCCGGTAGCTACTTACCAGTGATAGCTGGCATAGCTGCAGCATGCAAGTGAAAGTTACCTTATCCCTACCCGTTACTACCCTCATGACTATCCTATTTACAAAACAGTAACAGTAGTTGCGAGTTTTTTTGATGTTCTTTTTTCAACATTGTTCGACGAGGCCCGAGCTGGAGAAAGATGCGAAGCCCAGCAGCTCAAAACCCTTGAGGCCGGATGTGACCTTTGAGACGTGCCTTGGTCGAAACTAAACTGCTTGCTCACACACACTTAGACAATGGGTTTGCAGTTACATCAATTCCCCGAAGAAGTGAATGAGAAGGTGGCAAAGTCCGCGACCAACTGAATGTTTAACAAATGTTTGCGCACGTCTGCAGAGACTCACCGACAGCTCACGAGCGGCTGAAAGTGGCGGAAGGAAATGTTTTGGGGCTTATCATGACAACGACCATGGAAGCAAACCAAAGAAGTGGACAGCGTGGTCAAAAGTTCAATTTGTCGCAGGTACAGGAAACTGGCCAAGTTTCCCTTCCCACTCTTATCCACAGCTTCGTTGCGTGTGATAGGAT